CAAGGGACTTCCATTAATCTTTTGGAAAATACAAATCAAGACTACTGTGTGATACCACTGCAGGCCCACTAGAGTGGCTAGATTTTTTTCCTTTTTAATGGAAATTGTGTTGCTATTGGGAAAGTAAAACTTTCCCTCTCTTCCATTGTGTAAAGCATTTTGGTGGTTTCTCAGAACATTTACTGTTGAATTTCTCTATGACCCAGCAAGTCCACTCCTCTGTGTATAACAGACACTTTGTTTTCCATACAAAAATCTGTACACACTGTTCCTAACAGCAGTTAAGAATAGCCCCAAAGTGGAACTACTTCAAGTGGTCATGATCTGATAGATGGATAAATATAGTATCTACATACAATGGAGTCCATGCTACAATGTAGCAGGACCTCAAAAGCAATGTAACAAAAGCTAAGTAACATAGTCTAGACACAAAATGTTACATATTATATAGTTCTTTTTATGTGAAGGCTCCAAACTAGGATATTATAGACTGGAGCAAGCAGCTTGGGTAGAGGTGGACAGAAATAGAGAGTGAATGCTTAATGGGTACAGCCCTTTTTTAGGGGGGATGAAAATGTGGCAGGTGCACAATATGAATGTACTGTCACTGGATTTTTCCGTTTAAGATACCCAATTTCTTGTTAAATGAATTTTGCCTACATTTTTTAAGCCGGTGATTTCAAAATAAAAGTGTATAGAGCAATGCCTGATACATAGTAAGTGCTATTTAACCGCAGGTGTCCTTTCTATCATTTGTTCTTTGTTTAATCCTTTGTTCTTGTTACTTGTGTCACTTAACTGAGTCCTTCCCTTTCTCCAGGGCTCAGCATCATTATTGTTCCGGTTGGGCTTTGTTTTCATAACTGCCCTTCTCTCCCTGAACTCAGGAGAGCACTTGGCCTGTAGGAGGTGTTCAAGTAATTCATTAACATCTGAGTGGTGGTGATAGATTACACTTGTGTAGAGAGACTTGATAGCTTCCCTTGACGCATTCTTCTGCTTGCATCAGAGCCAGGGTGAGGGAGACAGTACTGATAACCTCAATTTGTGGATCAGTGAATAAAGAGCCAAAGGGTGTGTGATGATTTCTTCAAGGTCATCATTTCAAATAGTCCCCAAGATGCTCGGACCCTCAAGTCCAGTGTAGTTTCCACACACTGTGCCCTGGGTTAGGTCTTTTTTTTTTCTTTTTGTATCGATGGTGGTGGTAATGATGATGACGGGCAGGAAGAGTGGGCCGCTTGGCCTCGGAGGTTTTCGTAGCTGTTACAAGTCAAACGGACAGATTGGAAGGGGTTAGAAAATCCGGCTGCTAACGTGACTGCCACAGAATCTCTGCCACCCAGCAGAAAGTGAGCACGCTTTTCCACAGCATCGACTTATATAGGAAGTAGGCCACACCCTGAAGAAATGTACTCCACCACCAGCCCCTTCAGGAAATTGCCCTGTTGTTGCTTCAGGGCTGTGACCCCAGTAAGGGATTCATCCCCCACAAATGTTCTTAAACTGCTTGGCTGCTCAAAGCAGATCCCGTTATGGAATTAATGACATTGTGTTAGGCCACACCATAATGGACTACTTACTTGGCCTTAACTGCCAAACCACTGAGAATCCTGGCGCAGCACGCTAACACAAAACCTACCCTATATACTCAAGTATAAGCTGAGTTTTTTCAGCACATTTTTAATGCAGTTTTTGTGGTAAAATGAGGTGCCTCAGCGGGTATTGGGGTCAGCTGATACTTGAGCATATGCGGTAACTATCATTGTAGAAGAAATACTACAAAATTCTAAATGGCTGTCATAGACCCACAGCTGGCAAACTCTGCCTGCAAATGGGCTATGTAGTGAATATCTTAATCTAGTTAGTCAGAGTTGCTGTTGCTCCACTCAGCTACTGTATCTCAAAAGTAGTACTAGACAGTAGGGTAAATCGGCAGTGGACATGGCTGAATTTGGCCTCAAGATCTAAGTTTTGGGGCTTATGCGACAATAATCAATTCTGTTGAATTTGAATAAATGAAGGGTCACAGGTGCTTAGGGTGGCCTTGGAAGGTTTTACTTAAGTTATGACCTGTGTGGGGCCTTAAAGAGTGGTTAGGATTTGACGAGTGGAGAGTCAGCAGTTGAAGAAGAGGAGGACAGGACAGGCACCATAAAGAATAACTAGTGCAAGAACTGTGAAGAGCCCGCACCCACCCACCTTCCTCCTGCCCTTCGGTTCACTTGTTGCCCTTGGAAAAGGCTGTTTTTCTTTAACTAAAAATAACGGAAATGCTAAAAAAATAAATAAAAATATTCCTGGTAGACACTGAATAATCAGCTGGGCTAATATTTAGACACTTGGTTCTTCATTGACTAGCATTT